TATATATATATATATAAAAAACATCAAAAAAAGATAAAATAAAAATCTTATCCAAAAACATGAAAGCCAATTTTTTTTACAACTTTTAAAGGCAAAAAAGCTATCTAAATCTTTATTTTTCCTTTCACGACATTTTTTATCATAAAAAATGTTAATTTTTCACCTAGTTATGGTCCAAAATAGGATTGACCCCACTTGTAAATAATAATTAAATTTTTTAATAACTGATCCAATAATTAATAATTCTGATGAATATTTTCCATTGTTAAAAATTGATATTTTGATAATTTCTTCAATTAATAACTCTAAAATATATTAATAAAATTTTTTTAGATTTTTGAATTTAATTCATTTTAAAATCATTATTTGCAAAATAAAACACCAATATTAATTACTTAAAAAATCTTTTCCCAAAAAATAGTTCTTAGACCTCTCATAGTGCATATAAATAAAATTTTTCTTAACCAATTTAAACCTCATCAGGTACCTCAAGGAAGTCCGCTGCACCTAGCCTCAAGCGCGCACCACTTAAACTACTCCAACATCTCAGAACTGGGTTCCGAAACCCATTCTGAAGTCGAGCAGGAAGACTGCAAAATCCCTTCAGCACCCGCCGGAATCTCTACAAGACAACAATTAATCAACAGCCCATGCCCAATCTGCGGGGACAAAATCAGCGGTTTTCACTACGGAATTTTTTCCTGCGAGTCTTGCAAAGGGTTCTTCAAGCGAACCGTGCAAAACAGGAAGAACTACGTCTGCCTCAGAGGCGCAGGTTGTCCTGTAACAGTAGCGACCAGGAAGAAGTGTCCAGCTTGCAGGTTCGACAAGTGTCTGAACATGGGGATGAAGTTGGAAGCGATTCGCGAGGACAGAACTCGCGGTGGCAGAAGCACTTACCAGTGTACGTACACTTTACCGGCAAATTTAATCGGCGCAGTTCCTGGTGACAAAATAACTGGAGGGAGTTGCGGGAGTCCGGCGCCTCCTGAGCACCATCATTCCACTCGGCACCACTGGAACCACTCCCACAAGATTCAGGTGGTGCCTCAGCTGCTTCAGGACATCATGGACGTCGAGCATCTCTGGCACTACAACGACAACGACAGAGTTAGTCAGGCTGCCAACGGAGCTAATCCTGACTCGTGCGGTATCGACACTTCTAATGCCAATAATTCTAATTCTAATAACAGTAATAGTAATAATAATAATAATAATAGTAATAGTAATACTAGTAATAATAACAACAACAACAATAATAGCAGTAATAATAATAGCAGTAATAATAATAGTAATAATAGTGATAACATAGAACCGAGACGAGAATCGAGAGCAAGCTCCGTAGGACCGACGAATCACGAGCAGCTGAGCTCGTCGAGCAACGAAAATTCATCACCGAATGGCGGTACAGGGAGCCAGCACCCGGACCCTCTGTCGAACCTGTGCAATATAGCGGACCATCGACTGTATAAAATAGTTAAATGGTGCAAAAGTCTTCCGTTGTTTAAGAATATTTCAATCGACGATCAGATTTGCCTGCTGATAAATTCCTGGTGCGAATTATTGCTCTTCTCATGCTGCTTTAGAAGCATGGGCACCCCGGGGGAGATCCGGGTGTCGCTCGGGAAGTCGATCACCCTGGAGCAAGCCCGGCAATTGGGGTTGGCGACCTGCATCGAGCGAATGCTGGCATTCACCAACAATCTCAGGAGATTGCGTGTCGATCAGTACGAGTACGTCGCGATGAAGGTGATTGTCCTGCTTACGTCAGACACCAGCGAGCTCAAGGAGCCGGAAAAGGTGAGAGCTTCCCAAGAAAAGGCGCTACAAGCCCTTCAGCAGTATACTATTGCAAGGTATCCCGAGATGCCGGCTAAGTTTGGGGAGTTGTTGCTGAGGATACCGGATCTCCAGAGGACCTGCCAGGTTGGCAAGGAACTGCTTAGTCAGAAACGCGCTGAGGGAGAGGGCAGCTCATTTAATTTACTTATGGAACTGCTGCGTGGCGATCATTGATGGTTTTTTTCTTCTGGGGCCCCAACACTCCGGTAATCAGGTTGAAAGTTTACAGATTGTATAACTGATTAGGAACAAAAGTTTTTTTATTATTATTTTTATTATATTATTTATGATTATTATTAAAATTAAGATCCGTACTAGATTGTTTTAGCTCGTGGTGAGGGGACTACTTTTTTATATAAATTACTTTACGCTGATAGATCACTACGATAATATATATAATTATATAAATGAGGTATTTTGTGGTAATTAGATGAATTAAAATTTTATTTTTTTTTTGGTCTACACGGAAGAACAAGAAGATACTGGATATCGTCCCAGATTATACTCAGTGATATCTGTGGTGAAAAAAAAATTTCAGATAGTATTTAATAGAATATTTGACTATCTTATTATCTAAAATACAGAATAGGTATTAAGGTGGCGCAAAAAAACCGCTTTTTTTAGTCTCGAGTGAAAAAATTTTAGTTTTTGATGTTTTAAGAGCTCTCTACAAAGGACAGCTTAAAAAAAAATTTTTAAGAGGTCGCTCATAATTTTTTTTTAATTTAATAATGACTGTTTAATTGAATTAGCATTTTTTGACTCCGAAATTTAAAAAAAAATTATAAGCGACATTTCAAAATTTTAATTAAGGAAATTATTTTTTTCACTCAGTATAATCTGGGGTAATATCCAGTGTCATCAAAAAAGAACAAGTTCTTTCTTAGTATTGGAAGTATTTTTTTTTAGATAATTTTTTAAAGTAAATTATTTTTTAAAAATAATTATTAAAAAATTTTTTTTTATAAATTCAAATTAAATTTTTTACCATAAAATACCTTATATATATTTAAAACATAAAAACTTTATATATAAAAAAATATATAAATATATTTTCTATCAAAATGCTTCCAGTGAAGATGAACAAGGGTCTTGCATTCCTGTTTTTATTATTTTTTTTTGTTTTTGTTTTTTTTTTTTTTTTTATACATATTATAAAAAAATTTTCTATAGACAGGAGTTTATTGCAACGGCCTTATTACGGTAACGTTTGCATCGTCCAAGCGTGCGTCCTGGTGCGAGTGAGACTGAAAATTATTAGAGGCCCGTAAAAACTCAAGAGGATTGGACACGCGCTAAATAATTATTACAACAATTATATTATATTTTTATTTTTTATTTACAAGATATATAATAAGTACTAATGAAAGCGTGAGTGCAAAGAATGACTAAAAGCTAATTATTAACAATAATATTTTTATTATTGTATTAAAGTTTTATTGCGATTAAAATTATAAATTTTGTTATTAAAATTATAAATCACCAGTATTTTGTACTGTCTAAAAATACTTAACGCATAATGTATCCCCGTGGATGATGTACTTAAATTAAAAAAGTGAATTTTATTGATATATATTGAAAAAAAAAGTAAAAAAAAAGTGAGCAAACATTTATAAATGCAATTTATGGATCTAAGTTAGGTAGAGTGCCTTTACAGGGTGCCAATTAAATGAATTAAAATACATAATCTCATTTTTTACGTCACTTTTATTCGTACTCTATAATTCAGCCGTTGAAATATAATTTTAATGGCCTTATTATATTAAACATTGATAAATGATTTAGATTAACAAAATATAAATATATATGGAGTATATATATATATTATTAATAATAACAATATGTGTGTGCGTACCTAGCGTGCCGTTGATAAGCAACTGGTTGTTGCTGAATGCGTGAATGAGTGAGATAGCACATAACATAGGGTGTATTACCTTGTTGGCTGTAGTCTTTTATTATTATTATTATTATTAATATTATAATTATTATTTTTTTTATCATCATAATCATTATTATTATTATTAATTATACATGTGTCTATAATACATCTCACGCGCTACGTATCATGTGTGATACGCGTTGAACGCGTGTGTTGGCCTTTTAACTTGCGCGGCATTCCCAGCGATGTCGTACCGAGTCTAATGTAATTGTAGAATACTTTAAAGTTATGTAGAAAAGTAATTAATTATTACTTTTTATTAATTCATTTTATGTACGCCCGTTTTTAAAAAGACTGCGATCTAAACTTTTATCTTACTTTTTTCATTTCATAGAAATTGGGTAAAAGTACCGTTTGTCGCCAGTTTGCGTTCTAGTTAGTATATAAAACATTGTAATTTTATTTATACAATCGTAGTCATTAATTTAATTATGTTTTTAAGTTTATTGGAAAATAGCCATTTGTAAACTCAAACGTTTATAAATTATTTATTTGAAAATTAGTTGATAATGTTATTCGTAAAATTAGTCGCTAATAAAAAATGATATTAATGAAATTAGCGAAATGAAAATTTCATAAAATATAAATTCAGTTATTAATAAATAAGCGAAAAAAAAAAATCTGTGGCTACGTAAATTTAGCCAATTCTTACTACAGAAACATAAAATTAGCCGTTTTCATACTTCTTATAACTTTTGATTGGGTCGGTCGAATTTGCTCTAATTTTCCGAAAAACTTAATTTATCGAAGTCCTTTTAAATGCCTCAAATTTTTTTTTGATCCGTCAATCCGTTTAAGAATTACGAGAGATTTAGAAACGGCTAATTTTATGAAAATTAAATTAGCCGACTACTTAAAATTTTTATTGAAAAAATTGTTATAATAAAATTAAAAAAAAAAATTCACATGTAGAAAATTTGAAAAATTATACGTGCAATTTTTTTTAAGTATTTTTTACTTGCACTTTAATTGTTGAAAAACATAGAAAAATTTTTTAACGTCGACTAACTTTAGTATTATCTAATTTTATAATTCACAAAATTTACAATCGGTTAATTTTATAAGTTTCTGCAGTAATAATTAGCTAAATTAACGTAGCCATATATTTATGTTTTTTGCTATTTTATAAGAGACTGAATTTATATTTGATGAAATTTCCATTTCGCTAATTTTATTAATATCATTTTTTATTTGCGACTAATTTTACAAATGACATTATCAACTGATTTCCAAATTTAGAGTTAATAAACGTTCTAGTTTACAAATAGCAATTTTCCAGTATTATTAAAAACATATTTAAATTAATAATTACGATTGTACTTCTTCATTTTTTTAAATTCAGTGATCAGTTAATTTTATTTAAAATTATTGCAAATATTTAAAAAATAATTACACAAAAAATTTTTTAATTTTTTACAATTTTGATATACATTTTTAAAAAATTAGATATATGTATATGAATGTGTATAAATATATATATATGTACGCTAGAACAAATGTGTTATAAAATAACCGAGTGAATTAAAGGGAGAGAAAGTAAAATTAAAATGTCTAATGTCTAATAATGCTGTGAAATATTTTTGCAATCATATATATAAATGTTTTATGTTTGTACATCCTCAATACTTGAACATATATATTTGTTATATATGTTATAATGTAATGTGTGTGTAAAATGGGTAATTTTAATTTGTCTTTGAATTTTTTTCAGAATAATCAATTTTTTTATTTTGTAAAAAATTCATGTTTATAATTTTTTATTTTAATGACGTTTAAAGATTGGAAATTAATTATTAAAAAATTGTAAACAGGTAGAATTAAAATTAGAGGACAGTATTGAAAGTAATATATTGGTAAAAAATATAGATTAATAGCCGGGCGTACATAAAATAAAAAATAAAATAATGATGAAGAAATAAATAACTATTAATAAAAAAAAAAAAATAATAAACAAATATGATAAATGACAGGCCAACTTTGTGCTGGTTGAATGTAATTTATACGTTTGTAAGACAAACTAAATTGTATGGTAATTAATTTTTTAAATAACAATATTGTGGTAAATTTATTGCGATATTTAGATTTTCATAAAATGGGATTTTTTTTATAAATTTATAGTTTGAAAATGAATATTTTTGCCGTGAATTTATTTTTATGTTTATGTTTGATAGAAAAAAAAAAAAAAAAAAAAAAAGATCTATTGCAATTGAGGGAATAAAATTGAGAACAAAAGATTTTTATACTGGATATTTTTTTTATAAATGAATAAAAATATAAGATGTAGGAAATATAAGTGACAATATCTTACATTAGATGTTGTGAAAGTTGAATCAAATAAATCGAAATATTAAATATTAAATGAGCTTAATTACGACAGACTGTAACGACAATTAATATACATAATGGAGTAATACATTTATAAATATTCAATAGAGTTAAAAATAAGCGTACGTTAATTAATTATTAAATCGATCAATGATTATATTAAAATACAATAACTGTACTATTATATGGACAATATCTCTAGTATTTTATATACATACGTCTAGTATTAACTAACATACTTTAATGTTTAACATGAGCAAATTATATAGATGAAATCTTTTTTACGTAGTTTATAAAACTAAATTGAAACAATAAAATTTATTAATATAAAAGTAAATGATGTCATCAAAGCTTGTGAGAATGGTGATAATATTAAATCAGTTCATTATATCGTTTAAATCATTTATTCTAAAATTTATCATTTACATAAATGTAGTTTTATACATTAAAATAATTGTCATTGAAAATAAAATCACTTTTTATAAAAATAATATCAAAATTTTTTAATTAATTCAAACTTTTATTAATAATTTATTTCCCTCCAAGTACTATTCAGCGATTGAGGCACATGGTGGAAGATAAGGCTCAGATGAGAAGCACTGGCCCAGTTGATGTCCTGACCCAGCAGCCCATTAAGGGAAGACGTCGAGGAGGTGGTATCAGCTTACTTGCTCCGAGATAGATTGTTCCATTGCTCGGATAAATCTATCGCGACGGTCTGTCGTAAATGTGGAAGTCTTCTGGGACCTGTTACTGAGTACATCAAGAAGTTCGATGATCGCAGGTCTAGGTGCAAGTTCTGCAATGATGATAAAGAACTTTTTGATATTGATGTTCCGTATATTTTCAGATACTTAGTAACTGAACTTGCTTCCCTCAATATTAAAGTTAAGTTGGACTTCAACTTTAATTTATTCCACATGTATTAATTTTAATAATTAAGTTAATATTTTCTACGTAAAGAATAAATATTTTCAAGTTTAATTTTTTGTTTTCAAAAATTTTTTTTTGTTTTTATAATATTTTTATTTAGAATTCTTGATCGATAATAAACTCGGTAATTATTAATGATACTAAATTTAACAGACATCTAAAAATGTTTTTGATTTTTATAATAATTAAATATCTAAATTAAATACAGAAATTAAAAAAATATACAAGTGCAAATTTTTTTTTTTAATGATTGATTTATTATATAAATTTCAAAAATTGTTAGATATCTGGTAATTTTAGTATCATAATTATTGAAGTAAGTTCGTCCAAGGATGTCAGGTAAGAAAATTTTTAAATAATATAATTTAAAAAATAATTAATTGTCTATTAAAAATGTGAGTTAAAAATCTATTTCTCATAATTTAAGTCTATATTAATGGTTTTTATTCAAGAGTTACTTTTTTTTTCAAATATTTTTTCAATGATGGATTAAAATATATACCGCTGGAAAAAATTAATAATTAAAATTTTTTATAAAAGGAGAATTAATTTAAAAAAAAAAACTAACCATTACATCTTATACTTATTCTAACATACATACTAATATACTAATACTTATTTTAACTTATACACCAATAGTTATATTCTAGTCCATGTCTGTGCCTAACATATATTTTGTTTGGTACATACACAAATGCATACCTGGGCTCACAATAATATCCTTAATTCTTATGCCTTATCTATTAACAAAAGCATTAACTTTAGAACATTATTATTATTAAATTATTATAAATATATTTAAGTATATTAATATATCATAGTCACAAATTAAATATTAATTTATAAATGTTACTTATTAAATTATTATGAATTTATGATTAAGACGTTTAAATTTAATATATGTATTGTAGATTAATTATCATTTTGATCTATCAATTAATGTAAGATATTGTCTTTTTAATTAAATATTAATTATTATTTAATTATTAAACGTATCTTCAATAGTTTGTCGGTTATTTATTTAACAGATAGTATTATTGTTTGTTTGTTTGGTTCTATGGTCTTACTCTATTTTATAATTTACGTCATTTTGAAAATTTTTAGATAATGCATACATAACTAACAAACCTTTGAAGGACATTTAACACATGGCTTTTCTTTTATTAGTTTTCACAAAGGTTTAGTTGTCGAGTAACAGGAGCAAGCTTATTCGAGTACTTTAAATATAGTTCTGGGAAATGTTGACAAAGTTAGTTTTGTTCGTTGTTTGTTTATAGAAATTAGTGAATTACTATACTTTAATTTATGTGCTACAACAATTTTTAAGCTCAAATTATAAAATATATCATTATAATTTATTATAAATTAAATTAAATTATTTAAATTATAGTGAATTTCCCGCGTAATGCATCAAATACAACACCTATTATATCATCGGATATAACATTATTGTAATACAGTATATAATTCCATACCAACGCGGATTAAATTCTAAGCTCTACTCTATTCTACTCAACCGAGTAATCTGCAGTCACTTTGAGTACCTACTCTGTTAGTACTTAATGATTTGTTTACCTTCCATTTCTAGTCTAGTAGTAATAAAATAAATTTGTGATTTCCAACATCAGTGAGTCATATTTAATTATATTGTTAATTGTAATAGATAAATTATTTTGATCCTGGGTTCTAGTGGCGTGGGGACGTGTTATTATAGGTTAGTTATAGGTACCCACAAACGAAATGTGACAGCATTCAGTCATCAGTCGCTAAACAATACTCGTCCATAACAGTTGTGGTTGTATAAGTATATATACTGCTGATATTTTATTCTAAGGTGAAATCCAGCATATCAACATGAGGCGTGGGCTGTTGGTCATGGGGTCTCCCGACAGCGGAAAGGTAATTTATTAAAATATTTTTACTTAAACCTAAAAAAATTATAATTTATATTTATTTGTTAATTTAATTTTTTACATTTTTCAGTCTAATTTATGCCATCTTATCCACCAACTCACGAGCGAAAGAAGCTCTGAATTCAAAGTTGCCAATTTGGATCCAGCGGCTGAATTCTGTCCATACTCACCATTTATGAACGTTAGAGAGCTCATTACGCTTGAAAGCCTAATGGAAGACGGAGAATTAAAAATGGGACCGAATTCAGGACTAATCCACTGCATGGAGTGAGTACTCATTCAATGGTGATTACACCGCTTTTATTTATAAAATTTATGATTCCAATTTTATTTTTTATTATTAGATATTTGGTAAAAAATTCAGCATGGTTTATTGAGCAATTAGGCTCAGATGAAGACGATTTTATTGTGTTGGATTTGCCCGGGCAGTTGGAACTCTCCACTCATCTTTAAGTAGTCAAGAGTCTAACAAAGATTCTGGAAGATTGTGGCTTTCAGCTATGTGTGGTATTTCTGCTAGAGGCAAAGAATCAAATCAATCGCCAAATAATATTTTATCGCCGTTTGGTCACTTAACCGCACTCTTTACAATGAATAACCTCGCCCTGGCACAAATTAATATATTGAGCAAAGTTGACATGCTGTCTAATCAAGAAAAACAAAAATTAGAACAATATTTGTGCCCTATTGTACATTTTCCATTACCATCAGATGCAATCCAGGAGCTGCCACATCCGTGTAACCCTTTTCAAGACTATGAAGAGGATGGTGATCAAATTTTATTAGCCCTGAACGGATTCAATTATCAGCATGATGTTGGTTTTACGTCGTTGGATATTACGGATCCAGAACGCATTATGGCGTTCATAGATCATATTTATTGGAGTCTAGGATGTGATTATTATTAACTATATGTAAGTTTTATAGGTTTTGTATTTTCTACAAACTAACTATACAGTTAGTTATAAGATAAAAAAAAAAACATTAAGTTCTACTTTCCAGTCCATCAAGGACTATCAAAATAAAATTATGTATCCGTTATTGTTCAATTAAAATCAATAAATATCGTTTCCATTTTTCTAAGAAATAATTTGTTTTTATTAATAAATGATGAAATTGATGGTTTATTCTTGTTAATGTAGAGTTGACAGTATTGAGAACCAAGCGTGCTGGAGAATGTACCGAAGAGGAGGTAAATTTTGTAATTTAATCATTAATTTTATTAATCACTAAATCAATATAAAATGACATTAAAGTTAGCAGTCACTTGACAATTTTTTAATTTAATTCATCAAACAAATTGAGTTGAAAAAAAATTGCATTTTTAAAAATTTTTAAATGTCAATTTTTTTTCTCATTTTTTTTGCCATAATTAATTTGTTAAAAAAATTCTTAAAACTGTCAAATATCTTCCAAATTAATTTTAATCAGTATAAATTAATTTTAAATCAGTATCAATTTATTTTAATCAGACAAAAGGATATTATTGACGGAAAATACTCCCAGGTATTAATTTTTTATATAAATAATAATCCAATCTACTGCGCAGATACACAACCAGTTGGTTTTATTTTGTTAATTAATCTATTTGATTGGTAATCTGTGCTAGATAAACTGCATTTTAGTTAACTTGAATATTTATTCATTTATTTGAGTAACTTGTGACTTAGATCAGCATGCAACGTTAATATTAATTAACTTGAAATTTCATTTTTAACTTTCTTAATCAATGCTGTGTAAAATTTCAATTTTTTATTGTAATTTTTTTCAGAGCTCACCAGTTCTAACTTAATAAACTCTTTATTGCGTGAAGATTTGGAACGCATGAAGACAATCCGCGCTCACCGTGGTCTCCGTCATTTCTGATGTCTCCGTGTCCGTGGTCAATACACCAAGACAACTGGTCGACGTGGTCGTACTGTTGGTTTTGTCCAAGAAGAAGTAATCTGTCATTTTTTGGTGTCAAATATTAATATTTGATTATAATAAAAATTTATAAATTCAATATTTATTCAATTTTCTATCTTATGAATAAATAAAAATTAATTATATTTATCTTTTATTTTTAATTAAGTTTCACTTTACAAAGTAGTTTTAGTTATAACTAATAATAAAAATAATTCCTATAATTTTATTTAATAATATAAATATTTAAATAATTTAGTCACTATTAAATTGCTAAAAAATTGAAATTTTTTTATATTTAATACTCTAGTTTTTTGAAAATATAAAAAATATTATAATATTTAAATTGAGACATCCATAATAACTTTTAGAAGTTTTTTAAGAAATAAATTATATCAAGAAAAATTTATTTAAAAAATTCCATTTTTAGAAGCTCTAAAAAATCATAAATGAAATTTTTTAAAAAATTTTTTATACTTACTTAGTTAATTATTCAAGAAAAATAAAAAAATTGTCAGGTATTTGGTAACTTTAGTGTCATAAAATATTATATTACCTAAAATTTCATTTAAAATATTAAAAAAATTTGAATAATTTAGAATTAAAAATCAAAACTAAATTAAACTTTATAATAATTTCTGTAAATGATACAGTTTAGATTCCATTTATTGCCAAAATAACCCAAGCGGCACAAAAAAATTTTTGACAATATTTTGTTGACAATTATTAATTTATGACTTATTGTTAAATAAAATTTGCTAAAAAATCAACAGTTTTTTATGTGTCTTAAAATTTTGAGTACTTTTTTTTTTTTTTTTCTTGCTGAGTTGTGCTCAGCTGGCCTTTGGGGAGTCCCGTACAGCCAATGTTTAAATTTTTAGTACTTCAACTTGAGAAATGAATTTATGTAGAAACCATAGATGTCGCAACTGTGCATTGCCAGCATAATTCAAAGAATATCAATCCACCAATCAGTGCGGCCAGAATCGTGAGTGAAAAGTAGCCCCACCCAGCATTAAGCACCACGTGATTTGCCCAGGAAAGGGGAACTTTTAACTACGATCGGGCTGCACTGCCATCAATTCATGTCTAACCTGTGATCAGTGTTGACAGTCACCACGTGTGTTTTTATTTAAGTATCAGTATCAATAAAAGTGTTAATAAAAAAATAAAAAAATGTTGGACGAGCCAAAGCTCACTAACCTCAGCAAAGATTTTGGTAAAATCCCAGCTCATCAACACCCGGTAAGTTTCTTAAAAAATTAAATTAAACTTACAAACTTAAAATTTATTTTAAACTTAAAAATTTCTAACCTAATTTATTTTCTGTAGGCACTTCAAGCCCTCGGGGACCCACATGTCGGTTCATTTAATTACATGCTGGAGGAAGGGCTCAGTGTCAGTGCAAAGGACATCTCGCCAGTTTACGCGCGTTTGATGAACAATGATTTGGTTAAGGTATGGATCAATAACATTGATATTCAGAAGCCTTGTGTTCCTTTGGGTACCAAGGGAGCCAAAGATCCGAAGATTTATCCTTCAGAATGTCGCCAAAGAGGGAGTACTTACAAAGGCGAGCTAACAGTTAAAATAGGTTGGTCAGTAAACGAAAATGAGCAAAAAGAAATTGAGAGAAAAATGGACGAAATACCAATTATGGTAAAATCCAACCAATGTAACTTAAACGGCATGGATCCAGAGCAGTTGGTGAAGCACAAGGAGCTCGAACAAGAGTGGGGTGGGTATTTTATAGTAAAAGGTCACCAGAGGTTCATTAGAATGCTTCAGATGAACAGAAGAAATTACCCGATTGCCATTAAAAGATCCTCGTGGAAGACTCGGGGAGAAAAGTACAGCGACCTTGGAGTGAGCATCAGGTGCGTACGCGATGACAACACAGCAACAACCAACGTCTTGCATTACGCCACAAATGGATCAGCATTTTTGATGTTTTCGCTAAACAAAAGTGTGTTCTACATACCGGTTATCATGGTGATGATGGCGCTTTACAATTCGGTAGACAGATGGACCTACGTTAACCTGACCAGAGGTCGTGAAAATGATCATTACTACTGCACCTGTATACAGAACATGATGCGTAGCATCAAAGAAAAGGGACTGCTAACTTGTGATGATGTTAAAAACTATATTGGTCAAACGTGCAGAGGAAAGTTAAACTTCATAAATGAGCTTCACAATCAAGCTACCAACGCAGAGGTCTGTGACTACGTGATGCAAAAGTACATCCTGATACACCTGGATGATCCCGAGGATAAGTATCAGCTCCTGGTTTTTATGACGCAGAAACTTTTTGCTTTGGCGAACAATAAAGCCAGGGTAGAAGGTGCTGATGGACTTATGATGCACGAATGTCTTCTGGGAGGGTACCTGTACCTACAGATTCTCAAGGACAAATTCCAGACCTTGTTGAAGTCACTCAAGAGAATAATTATCAATAAGAACCAGAAAGTTGGTCCTCAGTACCGAATGACTGCTCGAGAAATGACCAGCGCAATCGCAAAATGCGGAAATTTCAGTAACGACATGGAGACCTTCCTCGCTACCGGCAACATAAAAACTGACACTGGGCTTGGATTAATGCAAAATAAAGGGCTAACGATAGCCCCGGAGAACATCAACAGGTGCAGATACATGAGTCATTTTCGTGCTATTCACAGAGGATCTTTCTTCCAAGAAATGAGAACCACCGAAGCTCGGCAGTTGCTACCTGACGCTTGGGGATTCATTTGTCCTGTTCACACGCCCGATGGTGCTCCCTGTGGACTGCTGAATCACTTGTCGGATCAATGTATTGTCACGAAGCATCCCAAGAAGGAGCAAGTGGAGCAAATTCCTCGGGAACTCGTTGAGCTGGGGATGCGGGAGCTCTGCAGCGACCCCAAATGGGAAAATTACTACGACGTTGTCGTTGATGGCAAGGTACTTGGAATTGTTTACGACAAGGATATTGATAGAGTAACTAATGAGTTGAGAAAGTTAAAGATCAGAGAAAAGATCCCACCAACCACGGAGATTATTAAAGTCCCCAAAAAAGGTGACTATGCCATTCAGTACCCGGGATTGTTCATTTTCACAGGACCCGCCAGGATGATGAGACCAGTTAAGAATCTTAAGGTCGGAAAGAGAGAATTTATTGGCACTTTTGAGCAAGCTTACATGCACATATCGATCACCCGGTCTGAGAGACATGAATATACAACCCATGAAGAGATCAGTAAGGTATCTTTTATGAGTAACATCGCCAAGCTGATTCCCTGGCCGGATAACAATCCCAGTCCAAGAAACATGTACCAGTGTCAGATGAGTAAGCAAACTATGGGAACTTGCACACATTTCCACAACTTACAATCAGAGTGCAAGCTGTACAGACTCCAGACACCACAGACTCCGCTAGTCAGGCCAGTCCAACATGACAATATGAAGCTCGATGAGTTTGCCATGGGAACCAACGCTATTGTCGCTGTATGTTCGTACACTGGCTACGACATGGAGGACGCCATGGTTATCAACAAGGCTTCGTATGAACGTGGGCTAGCTCACGGCTCGATCTACAAGTCTGAATTCATCGACCTGGGTGTCTGCACCGAGAGCAAGACAAACTACGACAAGCATGGTAACAGAGCCCGTGAAATTCAAAGCTTCTTTGGACTAGATCCTGAAAATTCTAGCTTACGAAAGACTCTGCAGGACGACGGATTGCCCAACCCCGGGACCAGGATCTGCAAAGGAGATCCTTATTATTGCAAGTGGGACCATATGGAGCAGAAGTTTGAAGTCGGCTACTGGAAATCCAAGGAAGATGCTATTGTCGACAATGTCAGAATGTGTCAAGTTTTGAGTCCCAAGGATGTCATGCGAGCTTGTATCACTTTCAGAGTGACCAGGAACCCCGCTGTTGGAGACAAGTTCGCGTCCAGAGCTGGACAAAAAGGTATCTGCTCGATGAAGTTCCAAGCTGAAGACTTACCCTTCTCAGAGTCGGGGATGATCCCGGACATTATGTTCAATCCTCACGGGTTCCCCAGTCGGATGACAATCGCTATGTTGATCGAGTTCATGGCAGGAAAATCTGCTGCAACTCACGGGCTGGTCCATGATGCTACGCCTTTTAGGTTCAATGAGAAGGACACTGCTATAGATTACTTCGGAAGGTTGCTGGAGCTCGGCGGGTTTGATTACTATGGAGAGGAGGTGATGTACTCTGGCACGGATGGCAGGATGTTTGAAGCTTATATTTATATGGGCGTGATTCATTATCAACGATTGAGGCACATGGTGGAAGATAAGGCTCAGGTCAGAAGTACTGGCCCGGTTGATGTTCTCACCCAGCAGCCGATTAAGGGTAGACGTCGAGGAGGTGGTATTAGATTTGGTGAAATGGAGCGCGACGCTTTGATCGCTCATGGCACATCTTTTCTTCTCCGGGATAGACTGTTCCATTGCTCGGACAAGTCTACCGCGACGGTTTGTCGCAAGTGCGGAAGTCTTCTTGGACCTGTTACTGAGAAAAAAAATAAGTACGTAGAACCCATATCAAGGTGCAAGTTCTGCAATGATGATAAAGAACTTTTTGATATTGATGTTCCGTATATTTTTAGATACTTTGTAACTGAACTTGCTTCCCTTAATATTAAAGTTAAGTTTGACTTCAGGTTTATTTAATTTATTCAAGATGTATTAATTTTAATAGTTAAGTTGATATTTTGTACGTAAAGAATAAATATTTTCAAGTTTAATTTTTGTTTTTAGAAATTTTTTTTAATTTTTAATAATTTTTTATAGTTTACTAATCTAGCTCATAATATTTTTATTCAGAATTTCTAGTGGATAATAAACTCGGTAATTATTAATGATACTGAATTTAACAGACATGTAACAATTTTTTTGATTTTTACAATAACTAAATATCTAAAAAATATATGCAGAAATTAAAAAAACTTACAAGTGCAAATTTTTTTTCAATAATTGATTTGTTTTAAAAATTTCAAGAATTGTTAGATGTCTGCTAATTTTAGTATTATAATTATTTAAGTAAGTTCGTCCAAGAATATCAGGTAAAAAAATTTTTTAATATAATTTGAAAAATAATTGTCTATTAAAAACGTAAGTTAAAAATCTATTTAACATAATTTATGTCTATATTAATGATTTTTATTTAAGAGCCACGTGTTTTTTCGTCCAAATATTTTTCCAATGATTTAATTACCAAATATTGAATAAAATTAATTATGGATTAAAACATATACCTGAAAAAAATGACTAAATAAAAGTTTTAATTAAAGGAGAATTAATTTAAAAAATCAGTATTTGTGTAATATAATACAACAATTTATTTTCTTATATTAATACTTTTCATAATTTTCAAGCCAGATCCGAACAAAAATTTCTTGATAAAAAATGTTAATAGAGTTATTAAAAATAATAATAATTTTTCACAACTAGATTTTACTCATCCGGAATGATCTTCAGATTTTTCATCAAGAAATTTAGTTTAAGATTTTTGACTGACATAATATCAATTAATTATTTAATCAATCCATTTGCTACGATGATAATTTTATATTATCTTATATAATATAATTTTTTCTTTATAGTACAAGTAATTAATATACTTTACTTTTAAAATGATTTCGATATTTAGTGCGTGTCAAACGCATTATCTACAAGAAATAGAATGTGTATGTACATGGCTATTGATTTTTCGAACAAACCGAAAGTTTGCAGATGCCAAAAAATAAATGTTTTTAATTGCAATTTAAAAGTAATCGCGTTCTATGATTGGAATGCACTTCTAACCAAAGCCAATACATAATACATGATATAATTTAAACAGGAATAACAATTTGTTAAATTTTAAATATAATATATGCATATATGTAATGTATATCCATGCCATACATTAATAAAAAAAAAACTCTACGCTTTAGCGGGTACTTGAGCACCAGGTTTTGGGCCGGAAGTTCCACCCGTGCCGGTTTGTTCTTTTTCCAACTGTTTACCCAGGTATTCCCTGGAAGGAAAAATTTTTATTTTTATTATAAAATAATCTCAACGTGGTTTCATTTTACAGGTAAATATTCCATGGGTTTATTTTTAAAAATAAGTGTTAAATACATTTTGATGATTACAGTCTTCATATATATAATGTTAAAAAAAATAAAAAAACACTCAATTTATTTAGTTTATTGGTTTAAAAAAAAAATAAATAAATATAAATTACATTTTTAGCCATTATATTACTCAGTATGGCTTAAGAATTCTCTGTTGGAATTCCTGTCAATTTTTTTTTTAATATTTATAATTGAAATTGAATTTTTAGTTACAACGATATTTCATCTCGCGCAAGTAAGTCTAAAAATTTCATTGATTGACTGAAAAAATGAGAGTTTTTTATGTTAATCAATGCCATTGTTTTGTTAATTTATTAATTATTTAATCCTACTTCAAAAATATTTTTTATTTTTTTTTTAATATCAAAATTTTTAATTTTTTTTTTTTCAATTTTTTTTTTTTATATTAATTTAATAAATAAATAAAATAAATATCAATTATTTTCAAGTCTATAAAATATTAACAAATAAAAAAAAAAGAAGTAGAAATAAATAATTAATATTTAATAATAAATGAAAATGAGTAAACATAAAATTAAACAAATCTTACCAGTTATGAACCATAAGCTTTTGAACAGCAATCAAAGCTTCGTATCTTACATTTGGATCTTCATGACTCAAAAGTTGCATCACCCGTTGTTTACCTCCCAATTGCTCAAGTACACTGAAAAAAAAATTCCATTATTAATCACCAAATTAAATGTTTATCTTTGATAAAAATATAATTATAAATTTGATTATCTTACTGCTTTCCACGAGGATAGTGTCTAACGTACTCCCCGATGTCAAAAGAAGCGACACTGAGAACCAATGGGTCTTTGCTGGTCTCCAGCAAGTGAACGAGAATGCGAAGCAGCTCGTAGTTCTTCTCGTTCAATCTGCTGGCATTCTCACGCCAGAACTTGGACGATTTGTGCACCGGTGACCACTCCAATCGTCCGGACTTTACTTGAGTTGAGTACTCGTCGAATGAACTCAAGTCTTGAACCGAAGCCTGGAGCTTGTCGTTCAAGAACTCGATGTCTTCTGTGATATCTTCGTCGTCGAATTTACGCTGGCTCAGGATTGACAGTTGTTTTAAGACCTTGCATTGTACCATTGCAATGCAGTGCTCCTTGGCTACTTGTCTGTCACCTACTTTCTCGATTAAATTCTGGAAAAATTTTCATTAATTAATTTTGATAGAAATGTAAAAAGTTTATAATAAAAATAATTCAAATAATTATTAATTAATTAATCAAGTAAGAGATACTTACTCTAAATACAGCGAGAATTATACGCGTTACTTTTTCTTTTACTGAGTCGCTGAGGATGTCTGCTAATATCGGGATAACATTGAACCTAAAATTAATTTTTTTATTTAAAAAATTTGATGTTGAAGAATTTTAAATTGAAATGTTAATTTATAAATAAATACATAACATTTTACTAATAAATAAATATGTAAAAATAATAATAATAACTAGCAACCTTACAGTCACTATGTGATATTTTTCATATATACATATATATAACATATATTTTAAAGATATAAGCTCATCCCGATGTTACACTTATCAAGAGCTTTCATTTGAGTACCCACATGCATTTTTGATATATTTGTCGTATATACATGTATGTAATATATATAAATATATCAAAAATTAATGTGGATACTCAAACGAAATGTCTCGATGTAAGTAACATCGGGATGAGCTTATATCTTTAAAAATATCAATAGTTCATAAGTATTAACAAGGTAGTTTCTTAATTATGTTAAATTGCACTGTACTTTCTTAAGTATTGACGTTTTTAAGGATATAAGCTCATCCCGATGTTACACTCATCGAAAGCTTTCATTTGAGTACCCACATGCATTTTTGATATATTTGTCGTATATACATGTATGTAATATATATAAATATATCAAAAATTAATGTGGATACTCAAACGAAATGTCTCGATGTAAGTAACATCGGGATGAGCTTATATCTTTAAAAATATCAATAGTTCATAAGATACAAGGTAGTTTCTTAATTATGTTAAATTGCACTGTACTTTCTTAAGTATTGACGTTTTTAAGGATATAAGCTCATCCCGATGTTACACTCATCAAAAGCTTTCATTTGAGTACCCACATGCATTTTTGATATATTTTTCATATATACATATATATAACATACATACATATTCATAATATATATAAATATATGAAAAATGAAAGGTCTTGATGAGTGTAACATCGGGATGAGCTTATATCTTTAAAAATCTCAATAGTTCACAAGATACAAAGTCATTTCTTAATTATGTATCCAGAGATAGAGCATTTTTTAATGCAGCTTAAATATTTATCATATAAATACACTGGACACAACATTTTTCTCATTCTCTCAATAATGTAAATAATAATAATAATAATAATACTCTTTAAAAAATCAATTATTATTATTATGTTTTTTTTTAATGCTTACTTGTTCATCTTCTCAGCAAGAAGTGGGTTGAAAGTCAAAACCCACAAGCAGAAAATTAGCTGATATTGTACTTGAAAATTAACTCGTCCTGACAAGACACTCAAAAGTGTTGAAATTCCATCAACCGAGATGAAAGCAAAGCGATAGACATCAACACGTAGCATCATTTGGAGACATCTCGCCACTGATTGAATGTATTCGTTGTTCTATTTTGTGAAAATTATTTTATTAGTATAGAATTACACTCAATAAAAATAAAAAAAAAAGTGTTAAATAAATTTCGATCTACAGCGCCAAAATGAACACACTAGCCTCCCAAAATAACGATTGATAGAATACTTGAATATTAATTAATATTTAATCTAGGTCATAAGTCATTAATTGTTACGATTTTGTTATAACAAACGAACCGGGCTGGGCATTTCGTGGAGATCTCCAGCCTCTGCAGGCTCAGTAGGTACGACGTCTTGCAGCACCTCAGCATGCATTTGAGACTCCTGCACGGCTTCGAACTAAAAACCCATTCAATTTTCTCTCGACCTTCTCAATAGTTTTTATTTTTATAAATATTTATTTTAGTGATTTAATTCCCAATCCGCGACCCGCTGAAGCAACATTGCATTTCGGGAATAGTCTAAATTACTAACATCAATAATAATAAAAAAAAAAACGTTTTACTCATCTACTGAAATAAATGTTAGTTACGTTAGAGTATGAAATGTTAGTACAGGTTCTACGAGGACACTTAAACTCCAAAAATACCCAGCTGTGTTTGGTGCTGTGCGACAACTACAAGCTGTGATAAGCAATAAGCATGCGTGTTAATATTAAATTGTAAATTGTAAATTATAAATAATAAATAAAATAATTCCTGAAACAAATTAAAATTATTCAAAGCTACTGAGAATTTAGTATTTAAAATTCTCGGTTTTGCCACCTTGTTGAAGAACTTACGCTCAATTTCAACTGATCTTTAAGCCAGGTTAAATAAAAGTTAAGATCGGCTTCCTCCATCTGAGCGTGGCTCCAGCAGGCGAGTTTCGCGATTATGCGAGACGTCATGTTCATGATAAATCCATCTTGGCGGTTCAGCAGGTTCAAAAATGGAGACCAGACTGATTCACGTTTACGGCTGGCATGCTCGCGGAATATTTCCACACGAGTACGGTCTTCCTGTAGTGCAAAAAATTATTTGGTTTAATTTTGTAGCACAATTATCAATAATATATTTATAATAACTAGCAACTATGTGACTGCAGTGATTTGTGAATGATGAATAAATAAAATTTTGCTTTATTAAATAATGAATTTTGTTGAATTGCACTGTACTATCTTAAATATTGACGTTTTTAAAGATATAAGCTCATCCCGATGTTACACTCATCAAGAGCTTTCATTTGAGTATCCACATGCATTTTTGGTATATTTTTCATATATTTGTATATGTAATATATATTATATATAAATATATAAAATATATGAAAAATTGATGTGGGTACTCAAATGAAAGGTCTTGATGAGTGTAATATCGGGAAGAGCTTATATTTTTAAAAATATCAATAATTAAGAAATTGTAGTGTATTTTGTAAACTTATGATATTTTTAAAAATATAAACTCATCCCGATGTTACACTTATCAAGAGCTTTCATTTGAGTACCCACATCAATTTTTGATATATTTTTCATATATACGTATATATAATATATATATAAATATATAAAATATATGAAAAATCGATATGGGTACTCAAATGAAAGGTCTCGATGAGTATAATGTCGGGATGAGCTTATATCTTAAAAAATATTAATAGTTCACAAGATATCAGGTTATTTTTTAATTATGTACCTAGAGATAGAGAATTTTCAAATGCAGCCAAAATACTTAAACCCATTTTATCATATAATTACACTGGCCACAAAATTTTGCTTATTCTCTTAATGATATAGATAATTTTTAAATTAAAAATATGACAATTTTTTAGATTTTTATATTATGAGTTAATTGGTATGGAAATAATTTAATAAAAAAAAGTTATCATGAATAAATTAAAAAAAATTACAAGTGCGGATTAAAAAAAAAAATATTGTCTTTATCATTGACTGGTTATAAAAATTAAAAAAATTGCCAGTTGTTTGCTGATATCATAATCATTAAAAATTAAAAATGAAATAGTACTTGAAGCATATCGTCAATCATAACAAGAATATATTGAATGGTTTGGTCCTTAGAAATGTGGCTCAGTAAATTGAGAAAAGTTTTGGCAGCCTGGCCAGGGTTTTGCTTGAGCTTAGCATCCTTGACTGCTGGATCGCTAATGTCAAAGCCCACTATGAAGTCATAGTCCTCTTGAGAAATCATCTGGGACCTGAATAAATATTATTTTTCGCAATATGAGTAAATGAAGAAATAGGTTAGTTTCTAAAAAATTAAAAAAATGTAAATCTTACTGGTTGTAAGACTGCCAATTGATTTTCTGGCTCCTAATGTCAGCAACCTGCTGCTGGAGGACACTGGTAGCTGCTAACATTTCAAAATACAATTAAATTAATAATTTATTTAGAGAAAAAAATGGTACGAAAATTTAGTGACGCAAACAATGGAATTAAGAATTTTATAAATAAAGTCAAGTATAATAAGTGACACATAGAATTGCCAAAAATGTTTAAATAAAGAAGTTAATTTTAATACAGTGAGGGAGTGGCTAGTGTTAAGTTGAAAAATAGTTTGAAATAAATACCATGTTTTTCTTCAGGCAATGCTGGAATTATTTGATTTATATTCGCGCGGTCTGCCATTGTTTATTTTTTTTAGCAATAAACTCCTTTTAAGTTAATTAATTCGCCTAATAGGCGTTTTTAGACACTTTTTAAGAGATAACACCACTAAATGATTTATTTTTCTGTGCTGGTCTGTTGTTCGATCACAAGACTTTAATGATCATAGGAGCGCCACCTGTAAGACTCTAAATGTCACTAATTTTTTTACTATACTAGTGACTTTTATTTTTAACTATCTCCGCCATTTTTAAAACTAACTTCTAAGAAATTTAAAAATTGGAATTTAATTGATAGTTTGACAGCGATACAATTATAGACTAATTTCTTTTGACATTTGATTAAAAAAAGATCATTAATATAGACATGAATTATGATAAATAGATTCTTTACTTACATTTTTAATAGACAATTAATTATTTTTTAAATTATATTATTTAAAAATTTTCTTACCTGACATCCTTAGACGAACTTAATTTAATAATTATGAGCAGACATCTAACAATTTTTGAAATTTATATAATAAATCAATTATTAAAAAAAAATTGCACTCGTAAGTTTTTTTTTAATTTCTGCATATAATTTAGATATTATTATAAAAATCAAAAAAATTTTTAGATGTCTGTTAATTATTTGGTACTGGGGACCAACGTTCCGGTTCTTAATGATAATTTTCCTCTTGAGCTCGCTCAACAAGATCTGGCATCTTTCCTTGAGAACCTGAAGGTACAGGTACCCTCCCAGAAGACATTCGTGCATCATAAGTCCATCAGCACCTTCTACCCTGGCTTTATTGTTCGCCAAAGCAAAAAGTTTCTGCGTCATAAATACCAGGAGCTGATACTTATCCTCGGGGTCGTCCAGGTGTATCAAGATGTACTTTTGCATGAGGTAGTCGCAGACCTCTACGTTGGTAGCTTGATCGTGAAGCTTTTTTACTTTGATTATCAACTTTTCTCTGTACGTTTGACCAATATGGTTTTTAACATCATCACAAGTTAGCAGTCCTTTTTCTTTGATGCATCATGTTCTGTATACAGGTGCAGTAGTAATGATCTTTCTCACGACCTCTGGTCAGGTTAACGTAAGTCCATCTGTCTACCGAATTGTAAAGGGCCATCATCACCATGACAACCGGTATGTAGTACAAACTTTTATTAAGCGAAAACATCAAAAATGCTGATCCATTTGTGGCGTAATGCAAGACGTTGGTTGTTGCTGTGTTGTCATCGCGTACGCACCTGATGCTCACTCCAAGATCGCTGTACTTTTCTCCCCGAGTCTTCCACCCGGATCTTTTAATGGCAATCGGGTAATTTCTTCTGTTCATCTGAAGCATTCTAATGAACCTCTCGTGACCTTTTACTATAAAATACCCACCCCACTCTTGTTCGAGCTACTTGTGCTTCACCAACTGCTCTGGATCCATGTCATCTAAATTACATTGGTTGGATTTTACCATAATGGGTATTTTGTCCATTTTTCTCTCAATTTCTTTTTGCTCTTTTTCGTTTACTGACCAACCTATTTTAACTGTTAGCTCGCCTTTTGTAAGTACTCCTTCTTTGGCGACATTCTGAAGGATAAATCTTCGGATCTTTGGCTCCCTTGGTACCCAAAGGAACACAAGGCTTCTGAATATCAATGTTATTGATCCATACCTAAACCAAATCATTGTTCATTCTTCAATTGTTCATTGTTCATTGTTCCTTTGCACTGACACTGAGCCCATGCTCTAGCATATAATTAAATGAACCGACATGTGGGTCCCCGAGGGCTTGAAGTGCCTACGAAAATAAATTAGGTTAAAAATTTTTGAATGAAAATAAATTTGAGTGGAGTTTCTGGCACCCAAATAATATATAGTGCGTAATGCTGGGTGGGGGTACTTTTGACCCACGATTTTGGCCGCACTGATTGGTGGATTAATATTTTTTGAATTATGCTGGCGATGCGCAGTTGCGCCATCTATAGTACATTAATTTATTTATAAAAAAGTTGGACCAAAAATTTAAATTCATATCAAATTTAATGAGAACAGTTGGAATTTTTATAAAATTAAATTTTAAAATTAATTAAAATATTTTTTATTGACAAGCAAGTTATTTATAAAAAATTATTATAATTTAAAAAGGTAAGCTTAAAAATTATTTTTTTAATTTAATTTTTTCATTATCAAAAAAATAATTACTTATCCAATCTACTTTTCTTTAATTTATTTTCCAGTGATAAGCCAGCATCAATAAATATATATTTTGCATCTTTAGGAAAAATTAATGTCACTTGATAAAAAGTTGATTGCACTACCGAGCAGTTGATAATTAAATGAGTACAACAATAACACCAGTCTCTTGCACCCAGCCTGATCGTTAACATGGTAAGTGAATTCTTTTATTCGCAATATAATCTCAATTTTGTCTAATTGATTTTTCTTATTTCAGATTCCTAGTGCAGTATTTACAAAAAAATTTAATTTGCAACACGCAAAGAATTATGTCAACATCATCCGCAACATTTCTGCAGCTTCTTCAAAGTTTGATTTACCTCTCCGGTACCAAGGAAACGACAAATCTGTCTGGTGAGTGCAAAAAATTATTGTTAAATAAACCAGCTGATTAATAAATTACAATTATAATAAATTAAAGGGTCGATTACATTAACTTGGACCAAAAATACAAACCTCTGAATCTTGGACAAGGATTTCCAGATTTTTTCGCACCGACTCATGTCACCGATGCGCTCGCTGCTGCGACTAAGAGCAATGATCCGCTTCTTAATCAGTACACAAGATCATTTGTAAGTTAGAATTAATGAATGTCAATAATTAATATTATTATTGTAATAATAATAATAATAACATCTGTCTAGGGACATCCAAGATTAGTCAACATCTTAGGAAAGTTGTACTCTCACGTTTTGGACAGACATATAGACCCGTTTAGTGAAGTTCTGGTAACTGTTGGAGCTTATGAAGCTGTCTATGCAGCCCTGCAAGGTCATACTGATGTCGGGGATGAGTGGGTGATCATAGAACCTTTTTTTGACTGCTATGAATCTCTTGTTAAAATTTCTGGTGGTGTACCAAGATTTGTTCCTCTAAAACCGGTGCGTGTCTTGTATAATAAATTCTTCGGATTAATTAATACTTATTTATTTATTTAAAATTTTTGACATTAATAAAAAATATATTTTTAGAAAAAAACATCCGGGATAATCAGTTCATCAGATTGGGTATTTGACAAAGAAGAAATGGCCAGTCTTTTCAATCAAAAGACAAAAGGAATTATATTAAATACTCCGATGAATCCACTGGGAAAAGTTTTTACCCAAGACGAGCTTGAGTTTATCGCTGATTTAGCAAAAAAATGGAACGCTATTGTTATTTCAGATGAAGTATATGAATGGATGGTTTATGAAAATGCTAAGCACATTAGAATTGGTAATTAAGTCTAAAAATTCATCCCTCAAATAGTATAAATTAATTTTTATTTAAATGTATATTTAAAATTTTTCTTTAATTTAAATTTTTTTAGCAAGTCTACCGGGTATGTATGACCGTACAATAACCATCGGATCAGCTGGTAAAACTTTCAGCATAACTGGATGGAAGCTCGGCTGGGCATATGGCCCAGAAAAATTGCTCCACAATCTTAAAGTCGTCCACCAAAATTGCGTTTACACCTGCGCGACACCGCTCCAAGAGGCAGTAGCAGTCGGATTTGAACAAGAACTCGAAAGATTTGGCCAACCCAACAGCTACTTCAGCACACTACCCCAAGAATTGCTCCCCAAGCGTGACTTTATGGCCAAATTTCTTTCAGACATAGGAATGTCACCTTCAGTTCCTGATGGCGGGTTCTTCATGATCGCCAACTGGAAAGCTTTAGCAGACCAAGTGTCGCTGCACGAAGAGCCTGACGAGTTCCGCGACTATAGATTCACCAAGTGGATGACTAAGCATGTAGGTATCCAAGGAATACCTCCTTCAACTTTCTATTGTCCTGAACACAAACACTTGGGAGAAGACCTCGTTCGTTTTTGCTTTATTAAAAAAGACGAAAATCTTCAAAAAGCTGCGGATATTTTATATAAGTGGAATTCTTCGTATTTACGACAAAAATCAGCTGGCGCTTGAAATTTTATTATTATAATTATTATTGTTGTCTTCAATTAATCATTTTCAATACGTATACTTGTTAAGTCTACTCTTTAGTTGATAAAAAAAATCTTCAATACAGATTATTTTTTATTATTAAACAATTGTATCAAAGACTGATAAATTAATATTTTTAATTTCACATATTCACGACAATATTTTTTGTTTTTATTATTTATTAGTTACTTAAATAACAAAAGCTCAATGATAAGGAAAATACTGAATCAGTAACAAAGTCCGTGCATGATAATATTGTTCAAATAAATTAACAAACTTACAAAGTAGTGATAAAAACAAATAATATTAATTTATAAACTTTTTACTAAATTTCATAATATTAAACTTTATAATTTTTTTTTAATATAATAACGCATTGTAAAATTAATATGTTGAATTTTTTTTTAAGATAACAGAAGTCAACTTCTCAGCAAGTTTAACAATGTGACTTAATTTTATTTTATTTTTTAGTATATAACTTTAATAAAATAAAATTATCCGTAATTGCTGTTTAAAAAAACATCTGATAATTTTTTTAAGAAGTAAATTATAACAAAAGTTATAACAATAGTTTATTTTATAAGAAAATTCAAAATAATTGTCAAGTATCTACTAATTTTAGTTTAATTTTTATACTTTTTCAACTAAAATTACTTTTAAATAATTTAATTTTGAAATAATTCTTTTATAGATTTTTTTTTCTACTAAAAATATTTGAGTGGAGTTCAAAGTCCTTGAATAAAAGTGTCTTTCTACTATATGAGGTAATATATAAACCATACGTATCAGTGAGCGATAAAAACATAATCTGTCGAGTTTCAGAGTTTCACTTCGTCGAATAAAGAGAGTATAATTACTCTCATTGTTGGTAATATATAATAAAAACGCAGTTTATGATAAATAAAAACATGTGATGTGTGACGTGCATTAAAAAGCTGAAGTGATAAGCAATGACCCACATCGCAAAGTTTGTAATAGATAATAATTAAAGTCGGCTTCCAGCTTCAGCTAGTCTTAATTCACTTCCATTTTCATTTATGTTATCTTAAGCTTCGCTGTTTGTTGTCATTGTTAATTATAAATTTAATTGTTGAATATTATCATCAACATATTGTTCTGTTCAAAAAGCTCATGTCTGTTAATTTATGCAGATATCCACTGGGCATCATCAGGCAATTGAGTCAACCTGTTGGAAAGACAATAAATAATCTCCGGTATTTATCATCAGCAATGTCAAAGTTTGATTTGCCAGAACGCTACGTCGGAAACGAAAAGAATGTTTGGTAAATATGACATTAAAATTATCAAAATTAATTTAGCTGATATTTAATAATTTTTTTAATAAATTATGGCAAGAGAAAATTTGTAAAAATTAAAAATGCAATTTTTTAAAAATAATTTTTCGGAAAAAATTTTTATGTTAAATAAATATATTATTTCAGGGTTGAGTACATCGCACTGGACATGAAATACAAGCCTTTGAACCTGGGTCAAGGGTTCCCGGATTTCTTTGCTCCGAGCCACGTGACAGAGGCATTGGCCGCAGCTACCAAAAGTGAAAACCCGCTGCTGAATCAATACACCAGAAGTTTTGTGAGTTGACGTCTATTAATCACTAACAATAGATACACTATTGTACGTGGTTATCTTATCGCTTGATTTATATTTCAATATGAGTAAGTGATATTTCGTTGGGAATGATTCAATGGTTAATTTTTCCCAGGGTCACCCGCGGTTGGTCAACGCTCTGGCGAAAGTTTACTCAAAAGTCTTGGGCAGGGAGCTGAACCCCCAGACCGAAGTACTTGTCACATCGGGAGCCTATGAGGCTATTTATTCAACTATCCAAGGTCATACTGAAAAAGGAGATGAATGGATTATTATAGAGCCTTTTTTTGATTGCTATGAACCCTTGGTCCGGATTTCTGGTGGTGTTCCACGGTTTATACCACTCAAGCCAGTAAATATTTCCTATGACAACACTGAAATTAACAAACATCTAATAATTCTTGAAATTTTTATTACTAATCAATTACTATAAAAAAATTTTTTTTTAATCTCTAAATATGAAAATTTTTTGCTGAATTTTTTATGATATTGATAGACATCTAACAGCGTTCTTGATTTTTATTAAAAATAAATTGTAGAAAAAAAATATTTTTAAAAAATTTACAGTTGTAAATTTTTTTTTAATTCTAGATGTGAAATTTTTTATTAAAATTTTTTTATAATAATTTTATTGCTATGAAATTATAAAAAAATTTATAATGTCTGTTAACTTCAGTGTCAATTTTTTTTTCAATTTAATTTAATTGCTATAAAAATTAAAAAAAATTGTTAGATGTCTGTTAAATTTAGTATCATTTTTTTTATTAAATCATAAAATATCAAAGCTGAAAAAAAAATTGAACAATTTTATTAAATTTAATTTTTGTAAAATTTTTAATATAAATTATAATTTTTCAGACAAAAACATCAGGACTTGTAAGTTCAGCAGACTGGATTTTTGATCGAGACGAAATGGCCAGCTTATTTAACAGCAAAACCAAAGGAATAATAATAAACACACCGCATAATCCAATTGGCAAAGTATTTACAATGGATGAGCTAACATTTATCGCAGATTTAGCCAAGAAATGGGACGTTCTTGTGCTATCTGATGAAGTTTACGAGTGGATGGTTTATGAGCCAGCACAACACATCAGAATTGGTGATTATATTTCTCAAGATTGATAACTTAAGCCATAAATATTTATTTATACCTGTTGGTTTATTTATGCTAACGGTAATCGAAATATTTTTAGCAACACTGCCGGACATGTACCAGCGCACAATCACCGTTGGATCGGCTGGCAAAACCTTCAGCGTGACCGGCTGGAAACTGGGCTGGGCGTACGGTCCCGAAAATCTGCTGTACAACCTCAAAGTCGTACACCAGAACTGCGTTTACACCAGCGTTACTCCAACTCAGGAAGCCGTCGCCGTAGGATTCGAGGAAGAGTTGAAGAGATTCGATCAGCCTGACTGCTACTTCAAGAGTTTAGCCAAAGAATTATTGCCCAAGCGTGACTTTATGGCCAAGTTTCTCGCGGATGTCGGAATGTCGCCGACGATACCCGAGGGTGGCTATTTTATGATTGCTAATTGGAAAGCTTTGGAGAATAAGGTCAAGCTTGATGAGGAAACTGATCTTTGGCGTGATTATCGGTTCACCAAGTGGATGACCAAGAATGTTGGACTCCAGGGAATTCCTCCGTCGGCTTTTTACTCCGACGAGCACAAACATCTTGCTGAGGACAATGTTCGTTATTGTTTTATTAAAAAAGATGAAAATTTACAGAAAGCTGCCGAGATTTTGAAAAAGTGGAAGACTAGTTTGTAAATTATTTTTTTAAAAACTTAATTTACAGATTAGATTGAGAAAAAAAATTTCTTTTGAAAAAATGGGCATTATTGTAACAAGAAATTAATTTTATACAATTTTAGATAAATAACTTACAAATTTTCATTCAAAATTTTTTTTTTTCATTAAGAAAATATGAAAATTAATTTAGCAGATATTTAATAATTTTTGGAATTTTTTTAATCAATAAATTATGGCAAAAAAATTGACATGCAGAAATTTTAAAAAATTATAAATGCAATTTTTTATAAATAATCTGGGATGATATCTAGTGTCATCTTGATGAGTTAAGAAATAAAATTATTCTACTAAATTAATTTCTTATTACGAAATCGCTAATTTTTTTTTTAAATAAATTTTTTTTTTTAGTCTACTGAAAGAAAGAGATTAATATAAATTATGTAAGAAATGTTTGTATATTTTTCTAAAAATATTTTATAAAGATTAAATAGAAAAGTCTCCTCTTAACCACCGTTTAGCGTCTTTAGTATCTGCTCCGAATGTTTTTCCATACCTATAAGCAGCACCGGGTACATGACCAAGATAATTTGGAATAAGGCCAACATGCTTGTGATATATTTCCGCTGGGTGAATGTGATAAGGTGGATCTGGACGGGAAATTGTGGCTGGTGCCCATTCAGTACTCTGACGCATTCGATAATTAGTGGTAAAATCGCACAGAGCGCTGTTCGTCATTGGCACATGGCTCGACCCGAAATGCGAATATCCGTATGGAATATGCCCCGAGTATCCTACAACAAAGCGAGACAATTAAATAGAGTAATTGAAGCATGAATTAATTAATTAATTAGTTAGTTAAATAATTCATGCATTCAGAAACTGAAAACTTAATAAAGTTATGGTATTTAATATTAAAACAAAACTCAACAAACTTCTTGCATTCTCACGAATGAAACAATATTTCATACGACTTTCGCTATCCATTTCCGTTAATTAACAAACTTCAAAAGCTCATTATCGTTATAATATTAAGTTAAAAATATACGAGAAAACTTTTTGTCATAATAAGATAATATATGTGTAAGTAAAACAGAAAACTGAGACAATTGACGGAAGAAAACAATTGCAGTATAATACCAATACAAGTGTTAAATTATTTTATGAAATAATATAAAAAGTAATATATCAATCAAAAATATGAATTTGCAAGATTAAAATTTTTTCTAATTAAATAATTTAACATATTAAATAAATTTTCTCTAAAAAGAATCATGAATAATACCAGAGACAAAATATTTATCAGGATCTGAATTTTCCATAAAAAATGGAGAAGGTGAATGATCTCTAGGTACTTGATAAGCCTCGTCAACAGGCAAATTTCTCATCATCATTGCATAATCAGGCCTGACAGTAACCAGCGGCATTTTGTATTCGCTTCTCAGGAGCTGAAACAACAATACAAAGAAAATAAAAATTTTAAATAAACAAATATACAATTAAAATTAACTTGTCGATCATCGAGACTCCGCGGCTCTCCATAGCCGTCATGCAGCGCCCTGACTTTTCTCAGATGATTGAGAGCAGCTCTACTTTTCATCTGTTGCCTCTCGAAGTCCGCGAGTCCCTCAGAAGCAATCACGCTGTACCGGTGGCCAAGCCGCGCATTCAAATTAGGCATGAATCCTAAAATATAAATACCTATTTTAAATATACATTCTATTATGGTGATTGTCATTCAACTTGCGTAATATTTCGGAAGTTGACAAGGTTATATATATGGAATTTATAAAATTATACCTTGATACCCGGGTATCATCGGATGCGTATAAATGACGTCTCTGCGCTTGCTGCGGGCATTTACTATGTCTATGTCATCTTTGGGAGGTCGTAGGACCTGCAGAAAAAAATAATTATATCAATTAGTAAATCCTCATTAAGTTTTAACATAAGTGAGAGTTTAAAATATTTTGAAAAGTTTGTTTCTAAAAATGATGATAATAAAATTAACAATTTTTTAGAATTTTACAATTAAATTATGAATAAAATTTCTTATGGAAAAATTCAAATAAATAAGTGCGAATTTTTAAAAACATTTTTTTTTTTATTATAATTAATTTATTATAAAAATTGTTAAATATCTATTCATTCTCATATCCAAGAATAATAAAAATTAAATTAGCAAGCAACTGACAATTTTTTAGGATTTTTTCTAATTAAAAAAATGAGTACTAAAAAAATAAAAAGAAAAATTTTACATGGAGAAGATTTAAAAAACTATGAAAGCCATTTTTTTTTAGTTCTAATTTAATTAATGAAAAAAATTGAGACATATCCGATCATTTTTAGAATTTTTTTAACAAATAAATTATGGCAAAAAAAAATCATTTAAAAAACTCTAAATTTAGAAGCTCAAAAAAAATTATAAATGCAATTTTTTCATTCATAGATTTTTTTCTAATAAAAATATTTGAAAAATTTCTGAATTCTATTGTCATAAAAATACAAAAAAAATATCTTCTTTTATAATCTAAAAACTCAAAAAAAAAAAATATTTACACCCCAATAAATCTGAACAATTAAAAAAAAAATAACCTCATAATCATCCTTGACTCTATTAGACAAAATCAATCTCTCCGAGCGATTGATAGTCGGATCAACCAGAAGTTTATGAGTCAAGCTGCCATAAGTTTCTCCACACCTGTACCGGTACTGCGGGCAACAGCCCGTATACCTGTGTAAACAACAAAAAAAACATCAGCACAGATAACGTCACTGATAATTATTATCTCATAGTTAACATAGTCATTACTATTTATAAATTTTAATAAAAGATGATTTTTAATTTTCTTACCCCGGTATCAAATGCGGCTGCGGTGTGTTCAGTAGCTCCACTGTCGCCATTATCGTTAAACGTCAGATTTTATTTATTTACCAAAATTTAATTCCAACTCCTAACTATTATTCACAAACTAATTTTTTATTTAAACTTTTTATTTTTTATTTTACTTTAGATTTATTAAAAAATTTTTTTAAAGAAACGAAACGTCAGAATCTAAGAACCGGCCATTGAAAACAAAAGAAGAATAATATTTTTATAAATTTAAATGAAGTTTATATTAAATATTCCCTCTCTATTATACATATATCCATGACCATGGCTATCTAGACGGTGGTACACACACGTGTAATGCATGAGTGGGGAGCGCATGAGTGAACACACTGCAACAAAACAGAATACTAATGTAATATATAAATGTAAAGTACGGTAGTAGCGGCAACACGCGATAAAAACACATTTCTTTCCAGTTTTCTGAGGACCACGGTATTGTTAACGTCTCATATTTTTAAAACCTGAAATTCGGAAAGAAGAAATAAAAATGAAAATTAATTTTTAATAATTTTAAAACTTTATGTAACAAATAAATTAAAATAAAAAAATTGACATTTAGAAATTTTAAAAAATTAAAAATGTAATTTTTTTAAAACAACTTTTTTTTGTTTAAAATAATTTTTCTTGTTAACAAAAATTAAAAAATTTTCAAGTGACTTCTAACTTTAATATTGTAAATAAAAAAGACATTGTCATGGAGTGCAAGTATTTTTTTTTTTGTGTTGTGAGTAAATAATAATAAGAAAAAAAATTTAATTAATGATCATGATTAATGATTTATAATTTATAATTACGGTTTCATAAGAGTGATCAAGTTAATTTAATAATCATGTGGTATCATCAGGAGAAAAATTCAGTGTTTTACGTCGACTCAGACTACGACTCCCTGAGTATTAATAATTCTAAGGTAAATTAATTGTATCTATTCTTATAATTATTGCCATTAATTATCAGTAAATACTCTGAAGCTAAATAATTAAATGTAAATTAATATTAACTCTTTCCCTTTTTTTTATTCTTGAAGAGAAACTCTCTTTAGTGTAGTTTATTTAGATGATGCCCACGTGGAACGCGAGTATATGAGACTTAATTGAGAATAAGCTGAAGAAAAGTGAAAATTCTATTCGCTCTGGTGAACTTGATGGCTTTGTACACACAACATACATATGTATTACTAATGACACACATTCGCTGTCATGCAGTCGTAGGCGTTTGATTTTTTTATTTTTGAAAATTATTTATGTTAGATATTAATATATTACGAGATTCAAAGATTCTCATGTTATTCAATGTAATGGTATGAAAGCGTTGGAGTTTCTTCAACATAATTACGGCATGTCCATATATATTGCCTTCAATTAATTGATTCGTATCGTCTTGCATAATTAGATTTGTAAGTTCATATAATTACTAGCAATAATTCTTGAGAAGATTACTATAAATTTTTTCTTCAGTGTTACTTCATAGTTGTTTACATTTTACTTGTTTACATTATATTTAGATTAATTCTAAGTAAAGGTTTGTGAAACTTTTTTAGTTAAGAAGAAATTATTATCAGATATTTAGATCTTTAAAATGTCTATACAGTAATTTAATCTTTAAAAGTCTAATACATTCATTACTAAAATTTAAATAACCTTCGGTCTGTGAAGAAATAATTTTATTAAATTTATCGGTGTATTTACAAACTATAATTTAATTGTTTTCGCAATTTCATATACGGGCAGTGAAGGTAAAAATTTAATGATTGGAACAAATAACGAAATTATTTTTAATAATATTTATGTAATATTTCATTAGCAACCTTGTGAACTATAAAAAATTAAAATTTTGCTTTATTAAATAATGAATTTTGTTAAATTGTACTGTACTTTCTTAAATATTGACATTTTTCACGATATAAGCTCATCCCGATGTTACACTTATCAAGAGCTTTCATTTGAGTACCCACATGCATTTACATATATTTTTCATATAAATATATGAAAAATTGATGTGGATATTCAAATGAAAGCTCTTGATGAGTGTAACATCGGGATGAGCTTATATCTTTAAAAATCTCAATAGTTCACGAGATACCAGGTCATTTCTTTAAATTGCACTGTACTTTCTTAAATATTGACTTTTTTAAAGAAATAAGCTCATTCCGATGTTACAATTATCAAGAGCTTTCATTTGAGTACTCACATGCATTTTTGATATATTTTTCATATATACATATATATAATATATATAAATATATAAAATATATGAAAAATTGATGTGGGTACTCAAATGAAAGCTCTTGATTAGTGTAACGTCGGGATGAGCGTATATCTTTAAAAATGTCAATATTTAAGATAGTACAGTGCAATTTAACAAAAGTAATTATTTAATAAAGCAAAATTTTATTTATTTATATTTCACAAGTCACCGCAGTCACATAGTGACTGCAAGATTGCTAATAAATATAAAAAAAAATAATTTAAACTAAAATCTAAATTATATTAACAATAAAATAATTCTCCAAGACTTATTTCTCGGTAAACACCTTATTATTATTTTAAAATGATTATAAATAGAATTTTTATAATAAATTATAATAGAAGATACCAAGACTGGTACAAGTCAACGAACCACCAATGATAATGCCATTTCCTGTGTACTAGTTAACTAAATGTACATTAAACAGTACATATGCGTTAATATAACGTGTACTTGATATGCATGTACGAATATATGAATGTACGGAGCATACACGTGTAACAATGGTCTATTATAAACGAAACAAAACGCAATGCTCTGCAGAGTAGAGACCTTAGCGGCAATAACAGAAAAGTTAAGAAGAAAAAAAATAAAAATGCGGTATGGAAAAAATTATAATGTATCGCTTGCATGTATTATGACTTATACGTGTACTACGGTCGTAGGTAAGCCACGCACGCGTGCCACCCACCGGACGTCGACTACCACCTGGCTGTCAGTAGGCATTTTTGCTTTTATCCATTCTACCCCCTTGGTTTTGTAAGGATTCGTGTTTTCCATTTTAAAAAACCCCGTTGACTCACGTACAAGACTCAGCTTTCATTCACTGCACCTGGTAGCAATAACAATGAGATAATCATTATAATCAATCTTTTTTTATTTCATTGAACCCGCTAGCGATCAATATTTGACTAATTACTTACAATTTTAATTATTTACATTGATTTTTTTAATAGACAAATATTTTATCATCGATAAATTATTTTCTTCAACTAAAAAATTTTTAAATAGAAGAAATATCTAATTGAAATTTTGATATATTTTAACATTTTGATATATTTTTCATATATACATATATATAAATATATGAAAAAATGTTGTGGGTACTCAAATGAAAGGTCTTGATGAGTGTAACATCGAGATGAGCTTATATCTTTAAAAATGTCAATACTTCACGAGATACCAGGTCATTTCTTTAAATTGCACTGTACTTTCTTAAATAATGACATTTTTAAAGATATAAGCTCATCCCGATGTTACACTCATCGAGAGCTTTCATTTGAATACCCACATGCATTTTTGATATATTTTTCATATATACATATATGTAATATATATATAAATATATAAAAAATTGATGTGGGTACTCAAATGAAAGGTCTTTATGAGTGTAACATCGAGATGATCTTATATCCTTAAAAATGACAATAGTTCTCATGATATTGAGAAAATACAAAGAAATTCTTGTCCAGTCAAAAATTTAAGTGAACTATTTCATTTAAATTTAATTAATAAAAACTATTTTAATTAATTTGACCAATTCTTTAGACAAAAAATATAAATATGATAATTATGAAGAATATTTTTTTGTATCAAAAAAATTTTCTTCTTTCAGTACACTAAAAAATTAATTAAATTAAAGTATAAAAATTTTAATATAAAATTTTTGATCTTATAATTATCCTAATAAAAATCCCAGGACTTCATTTCTCAAACCAAAAAAAATTTCAATAGCAATCTTGATTTCTTCCCGATTTTTAACAAAAATTTTCTCTCCATATACTTAATAATAAACATATCTATCAAAAATAAAAATAGTATGTTATGATTGAATGAGTAGGAGTCGTTATGAATATTATTAAATAATTTTTTACGGGGCAGTTAATTTGTTGGGAACATTGTTCTTGGAGTTAGCGACCAAAGACAAGAGTAGAGTCCATTGTGCTTGATAAATAATAACAACAATGATTATGATAATAATAAATAAAAATATAAAATATAAAGAGGTGGATCTTTATGGCCGTGGGGTTGTCTCTAGATTTCTCATAACGCAGGTACATGTATTTAGTTTTTTATTCAGTGACTCATCGCACGCGTCTTCAGTATTTTCTTTTGTGCACCAGGTGACGCGGGTTGTTGATGTTCCAAGGGATACGTGGAGTGAATCCCTGTTAAATTATATTCGTGATCTTTCGTCCGTGCTGATGGTTGATGGTATGGTACTATATGGGCCTAAGAGGAAGTTTAGCTCTGTTAGAGTTGATATGAATCGAGTTGAGTTGATATAACATTAGTAATACGAAGACTATATATAATATAATATTATATTATATTATGTACAGTACTACAGAGAGAGAGAAGTTAATAAAAATAATAAAACTGACAGTATATATGAGAGATAACGGATGATGATGGACCAGAGTACGGGATACGGGATATGGAGAAATAATTATAATAAAGCGAGTAAAAGAATCGGCAAGGCAGTACAAGGGTATTAAAGATATACTAAAATAAAATAAAATAAAGTACATACATGTAAGGTGATGTCTTATCGGTAATCGACAGGAGGAATGGAATCGAGATTCAAGATCGGAGATGGGACCCGATTATTTCGAGTTAAAGGTCGTGCTTCTGGTATTTTATTTTAAATCGCTAATTTCCTTTTTATTCATCTCGTGCTATCTTCTGCTGAGTAAATACAATTCAATATTTTATATTATATTTAGCTTCATAAATAATGTATGTAATTTATTTAATTACCTGTTGA